TGCTATGAGGAGGTTGAACCATGTTGTGGTTGATAGCCTGGACTTCCTCTGTGGGGTTAAAAGAAAAGATACTGTAAAGTGACTCATTTTCTTTTTTCCTCTCTGTCATCTTCTACATCAGAGTTGTAGAGTAAAAATGCTGCCTTTCCTTTTTGTCTAAATGAAACTAGATCAACACATGTCAGGAAATATTACAGTGAGTACTGAATACAGAAGGAGTGAGGTGGTTATCATCCTGGAATGCAGTAATAACGTGATGCTTTGTGTATGAAAAATAATAAGAGGAGGGTTCAGCCACTAAATATAAATCACCTTTTTCTCTTCTTCTCCGAGTCATTTGTCCTGGGCTTGCTTTGGGCTGTTTTGGCTGTGCTTGATTTGGAGATACTGTCCTCTCTGTGTCGTTTGCTGCAAAAAGAACACGAGAAAAATGGGCACAACTCTGTCCAGCAACGTTATGTCATTAATGGAAAATAAAGCACTCATGAGGCACCCTCAGATGCCCTCTATTTACACATTTATATAAATATTCATCGTTTATCTAAAACATATTATCTTATTATCTAGGAATACAAAATGGAAGGGGCCGTTGCTCTGGCTCTGATTGAGAGTCAAAGGCTGTTCTTAAATTTTGGACACTGAGAAATAGAGACTTTGCCAGGTATGTGACACCCTCAGGAAGAGGACACTTCATGGATGATGGTGGGTTCAAGTATTTTAATATGAGTCCAGGACAATGTGACAGTCTATGGAGATAAAATCCTATCAAAAATGTTACAAATGCGTGTTTAACGTTTTGTCTGTAACAAGCGATTTGTGTGTGTGTGTGTGTGTGTGTGTGTGTGTGTGTGTCATGAGGATCACAAATGCGTGCTGCGCAATCTGCACATAAAACACATTTTACAAATACTTAAAATCGAATTTTAGTGTGCAGTTCTTTAGAAAGTACGTACACATTGTTACCTACGCATGCGTGGATCATCTAACACACACGAATCACCTTCCGCGCACACACGGATTTTTGAGAGTGTTTTTCCGCACTCTCAAAAGTCCACGATCCACGAATGCACGGTGCGTTTAAGGACACGTGGAAGACTTGGACATCTGAGTTTCCAAACCTGTTTCCCAAACAAAAGTATTTACACAACGCTATTCCAAACATTCCGACACTAATGATGTCGGTTGCTTTTCTGCTCTGAGTTGAAGATTTCAACTAGAGGCACACTGGCAAAAATAACGTAAGGTGCTCAGCAACACAAATGCTTCACTTTCATTGACAACATTAACAGAAAACCTTTCTAGGCTGCTAAAATATGCTCTGTCTGCTCAGGATCTAAGATCACCCAAACCACAAACACCACAATTATATGTCAGTGTGAGCCTGTTAACTTGTGTGTGTGCCGATCTAGTGGTGCATGAACACTTATGTTATTGAAGCAGCACAGGCTCTGCCTTCTGTCCAAAGTGACTGCAAACTGGCTTTTTTTAAATGACATTCATTTTACTGTTCCCATAAAGGAATGTTAAATTCTTATTGTTTCAAAGAGTGATAAGCTAAACACCAGTAGCCTGTTCAGATCACTTATTAGCTGATTAGTGTACTGACTGTGTTGTCCTGCCATCCAGCTCCTGCTCCTTGCAGTGAGACTGTGTGGGTACTCTGCCATCCTGCCTGTGTTCTCCTCCCTCCTCTGGCTGACCCCCTCGTTGGCTTCCATTGTATCGCTCTGTTGGACACCTGGGCTGAGGCTGAGTCGAGGGCGGAGATTCCGATGTCGGCTCCTGATCCTCCTGGGACAGCTCCCGCCACTGGTTCTATATAAGCAGAAGGGCAGTAAACGGGGAAGAGGGCGGCACAAGATACTTATGCTCAAGCTTTTCTACTGATGCAGTAAATAAACACAAAAGAATTTAAGAGGAATACATTAAAGATATTTTTTTTACAATGTTTTGCCCCAAAACTGCCAATAAATGTTGGAAATCCGAGTTGGAAAAAGGCACCCATCGAAATTGAGAGAACTGCAGCTGTAGCAGTTTTTCTTTTTTAAGTAGCAGGGTACCAATACTTTCAGTATACCACAGAGAGAAAGTGAGAGTGTGTGTCACTGTGAGTGACAGAACTGGCTACGGTGTGTGTGGTGCAGGCACCTGCACAGAGGGGTCTCCCATGATGTACTTCGCTCCTTCGAGGACAGCCATGTAGGAGAAGCGCAGCTGGTCAGGTGTCTGGATCAGGCCCATGCGGTACTTCCTCATATCCAGCAGGATGCTTTTAATGTCAACTGACGAGGGGTCGTTCCTCTTGTCCATCTGGAGATGACAGCAGTCTTAATTTACCTCAGTCTGTGACAGTCTGCATTGCTACAGGTTTGGGATAAAATGCTGTAAAGGATGTTCTTTCTACCTTATTTTCTTAGCTCTGGTTTATCTACCTTAACATCATCTTGTTCTCATGCATTTCTCTGTACGCATACGGGCAGCAAACAAAAAACTATGCATTCCAGCTGTGGGTTGGACATAACTGCATAAAGGTTTCTTGTTTTATGTCTGTTTTTTTTCCTCTTTTAATCACAGTAAACTGAATTTTCATTTTAAACTTTCATAACAATTCAGTGTCATTAATTTTGCCGCCTTATTAAGTCAACTCTTACCTAAAAATTCTGCTAAGCATTCTCACCACTTGGTGTGCAAAATATAGTTTTACTAGCATTTTTGTGGTCATATAAAATGTGACTAGGCTAAAAATACCCCAAATCTGATTTAATTAGTCACTAGCCACTGAATCAAATCACAGATGGAACAGAGAGAAAAGGCTTACCAAGACCAGGCACGTGTCAACTAATGAAAATGTCCCTGAGCGTCCAATTCCAGCGCTACAGTGCACCACAGCCGGCCCCTGATCCACCCCCAATGCTCCTGACTCCCGCACCTTGAAAAGGAAATTCAGGAAGGATGCCGGAGACTCTGGGACTCCGAAGTCAGGCCACGTGGTGTAATGAAAGTGGTAGATCTCTCTCTTCTCCCCTGTCTGTAAAAACAAGGCAGACCTCATTGGCGGCTAGGAAACTATAAAACCTCTCATCTATTTTATCACACGAGGTTATTAGTCAAGTGTTTAAGAGCCGAACTAAGCAAACAAGTTTTATAACTTTTTCCTTTTCTGAATACCTGACATACCAAAACAGCAAATCATGTGTGAACTTGTATCTGCTGTGATCATTGTGCCATTTCTTTTTTTAGTTCATATTTTCTACTTTGGGGAAAAAAAAAAAATCTGTTTTCATTTCGAACTGAAAAAACTTAAGAGATAATTAGCTGGACTAGATTTCTAGGTCCACCTAGTTTTTTCATTTTACTATGACCTGGATGACTGAGAATCTGCACAGACATGTTTTCATTCCAAATTTTAAAAACAAGTGATGGATCACAGAAGCTCACAGTATGACAGTCTAGATGAAACTCTGATTTCGGTTTGCAGCAGAAACACTGTAGTTTTGGCGCATGTTGTTTACTTTGAATAAACTGCTCTACTGCATCATCTGCGGCTCTCTTTCATTTCCCCTCATCTCCACACTAAAACATGTATGTATGTGTGTGAGAAGATAGAACTTGGGTGACAGTCTGTGCAAACAGAACGGCCTTAGGATGTTCTCAGCTCTAAGAAGGACAGGTCCATGTGATGCGACATCCCTGAACCATTTCAGTTCTCTTTTGCCACCTTCAACTGCAAATTCCCCTTGTACTGAATGATCCTCTGGCCTACATTAATATTCTGCAGCTCCAACACTCTGGTGGTGTAGTAAGACTTGGTGTCTTCTGACAACAGTGTGACCAAGAAACGGGTGTCTCTGAAGGCCATCTCCCTCTCCTCGGCTGTGGGCCAGTACTGAGCACACTTTTCCTGTCACAGAAGAAGAAAGGAGAAAGAAATGAAACACATGACAAAGAAATACACCTGATTAAAAGCAATTGCTGGCTGAGAAGTCAGGCTGCGTCACGCAGATGGATAATAAATTAAACAGCACTAAGCACTAAAGTCCCCTCATTTGTTAATGTCTTCATCCTCTACATCCTTGCACATTCATGTCACACTGTTTCGTAGGCACATAGAAAACATATACAAATACAAAGCATTATTATGTTGCTCTTGTCAATTTTAGGGCTTCAGTAGTAATAATGGGTGATTATTGAAATATTCGGGGTTGGCTGTGGTGGAACACTTATGCCTCTGTTCTTGGCTGAGATCATGCTCAGACATGTTTATACAGTATAGCCTTTTTCAGACACAAGATACGTAACATTACTGCTTCATCGTAAAACGACGGCTTTCTGTCATTCAGACATAAGGCACTTTTGTGTTATGGTCTGTGTGGTATTTTTTCAGTCTTTCTGTTGTTAGGGCGTGTCAGGCATCAGGCAAATAGGAGATGTCAAACCAAACAATATGAGCTCTGTGTTTATTGTGTGCTTACTGAGCCTTTCTCTATGACCCTGTTGAGCATGATGACTGCTTTGGTCTTCTGCTCCCAGATCATGAGCCAAAAGTGGCCACATGTGTTTCTGAGGGGGCCCTGCAGACACACAAGGACACACAAACATACACTGAACAATGAACAATAAAATGTCCAGCCTGCAGCAATCCTAGGCTGATCTTTGTCAAAGTGTTAACTGTGCAATGGAGATTTGCAGATTGATAATAATTTACTTAATAGTCAAGACTCATAACGATTATGATGTGGTTAAGTTACGAAAAACTGCACTAAGGTGTTAAATGTCAAACGTCTCCGTGGCAATAACACAGAAAAGATAACACACAAAAAAAAGCATAGACGACAATGCTGAAAAACTGTCAACAGATGTTTGCTTTGCTTGATTTTTGTGTGTGTGTGGGGTGTGTGTGTGTGTGGGGGGGTGTATGTAGATACAATAAAATGTGTTAGGTGTAGGAGTACAAGAAACAGCATCACATCAACAACACCCTGTGTTTGCCATGGAGATTAGGATGCAAATCGCTAAACAACAGATACGTTTGCGGTTCCATTATTTGAGGATACCCACACTTCAAGTACTAAATCTAAATGCTTTGGCTTTTTAAGCATCCTTTTCTTATAGTTTTCATTCTGTGACAGTGGTCACTGTCAGACTCTCTCAGATCAGTGTTACAGTACTTTAGAACGCCTCAACAAACCCCAGATGAATGGTACAATCTAGCTTTGCCTCACCAAAAAAGAAAAACCAAAAACACACACAGTGTGAACACAATTTAAACTCCCACCAAACTTGCTGTAACACAAATTCAGCACATGTATCCAACACAAGCATTTCACAAAGGGTTGACATATTTTGCTAGATATTATCTAACCAGTGCCCGCCTACCGTCTAATGCTTGAATTCCCTAGACAGGCTACAACCTACAGTTATTACCAAGACATTGTTCTGTGGACAGTGAGAGTCTGTTTTATCAGCCCAGTCATCATGTTAGAAATCACCTGAAAAAGTTAAGCAGTCCTTTGTCCTTTGATTTTCTGAAGACATGAGAAGATTTGGAACTGTGTGAGGAGAGTACACCACTGTGTTGGGCTTCCCCAGTGTTAATGACTGTGATGTTGTAAATGACTCCACAACAATCCTGGAAACTGGTAACTTTCACTGTAACGCTCGTAACATTAGCATTCGGTTCAGTCTGATATATGACGTGCCCCAAAATATCAATATTATAAATAATATGTTAATAAAGAAACTACACATTATACGTATGTCACCGACTAATTCTACAAAGAAACATTTTATAGAAAGGCTGAAAAAACATCTGTATGTCCTCAGAAAAATGAACCATTATCTTCCCTCCTCACTGAAAAACTGAAAATCTTACATTGTCTATGTCAATAATTAATCTTGACACATCGTAAAATATTCCATATATATCACTTTTAATTTTTAAAATGAACTTGCCTACTACTCACAGATTACTAAATAATTAAAAAATATTGCATCCAAAGGTGGATACATCCACAAGCTGTACACAAACACACAAACTCCTACAGTTAACACTGCTCAAACAAACAAGCACTCCACTGGCTTCTATTATGGGAAGTGAACTGTTGTTTACTGTAAGGTGATGGCAATAATGCTCATTAATGATTTACTGTCAATGTGTTATATTACACAACACAGAATGTAATAAATGTTTATGTAGGTTTTGGTAGTTTAGTAGTGAGGCAGAAGGCTGCCCACCAAGAGCCAGGGTCTGGTGGAGGTTTCTTCTGTTAAAGAGAGTTCTTCCTCCCCATTGCAGCCAGGTGCTTGCTCAAGGGGGGATGTTACGTTCTTCCTCAATAATAATAATAATAATAATAATAATAATAATAATAATGATGATAATAATAATAATAGGTCTATACCTTACTTTGTAAAGTGTACTGAGATAACTTTGGTTGTGATTTCACGCTATACAAATAAAACTGATTTGAATTTTAGAGATTTAGACAGCTGACTTAAAATTCATCTGCAACTTTTTGGTAAACAACTAAGTAATGACCCATTTTTAAACTAAAACAACAAGAAATTTGTGAGGATTGCCTGCTTCGTATGTAATGCAACACTAAATTTAATCATTTTGTAATTTGGTTGAGCAAACCAATCAATCTGAGACATTTTCTAGATCAAACAGTTAACTGATTACTTAATAATGAACACACATTTATCACCACATAATGACATGTATGCCTGACTGTCACACAAGGGATAAAAAGCTTTTGGACTTGCCTGACTCAGTATGTAACTTCTCTGAGCTTCCTCCATGACCACTAGACTTGCGTTGATGTAGTCATTTTCTGTGTTCTCTAGCCTCACCCGACTGTGATCAACTGCAGATAGCAAGAAATTATTTGGAGATGGACTGAAAATCAACAGACATAGTTGGATGTTTAGAGGACTGCTACAATAGAAGTGTGGACTTTGCAAAAATGTTTACTTACATGGACTGACATCTCTGTATCTGTTTCGGTTCCGATTCTCTGGATACTTAGCCACTTTGTAGGAGCACTCGTGGGACTGATTCCTGATTTCCTGATGAACAAGTTTGTTTAGAAACAAGAAATTGCCAAATGCACAACAAGAATGAAACGAGAAATTACCAGATGCACAACAAGTATGATCTCAAACTGACAGATGCCTACTCTCGCCACTACACTGTGCAATCAGAAAGCCAGCTGCATCCTTTCTAAAACGTGTCGGTCCAAATAATCAGTTACTTCAGCTCTGAATACTGCACAGCTTCTCACAATAAGACGCACAGTAGAGAATACACTTGTACAGTGGAGTATAAAACCAGGTGAGTAGCTGTATAATGCAGCTAAGCAGAGTGTTTCAACCACATGCACAAGCTCATGACATTGAAGCTCACGTTAACGACTTTATCATACAAAAGTATTGCAGTATCTAATTACAATTTTTTTTAAACTCACATAAATATAAAGGAAATCTGTGATGAATAAGAAGTTAAATAACGGATACTTAATGGTTTAGTCGAGCTTCCTAAATCAAATGCGTGATTCTAAGTGCTGACTATCTATGTTAGCTTCATGTTAGCTATGCTAACAGACTTACTAGATACAGTTTTTGCCACCGGCCCTCTGAATCTATGTCCTCGAACTCCTGGTCCATTTTCAATGTGGCAATGCCAGTCTGTTCCAAATAAAGTTGGTGTTATTAGCTGTTTAACTATCTACCTCATTACTTTACTCTGCTTAAAAAAAAAGCTTCTGGTCAAACAACAACTACAACCTTTCGATATCGAACTCTCGCTAAAGTGTTTGTCCGTTATCTGCTGCAGTTATCCTAAGATGAAACAAGTACGCATGCGCCAACAGAGGTCCTTTAGTAGCTGTCAAACCAAACGCAGCAAAGATTTTCAGTGAGCAACCGAGATGCCAAACACCTAGCTCACACAGGATATATAATAGTAATCATTATATTCTCAATCTTTTGAAATGAACTAACAATTTGAAAGTAGTTTGAAAGAAAGGAAATAATGATGGTGATTTGAGAAAACGATCAACATGCCACTCAGCTTACGGTTATTTTAGACATGAACAACCACAACCATATTGTTCTTGAAACTGCCTACAACCTGGCTGATACGATGGAATTTTTAGATTTTAGAATTGACAGTTTTCTTATATTTTTTTATTCAGCAGTTTACTGTATATTCTCAAAGTTGCTTGTGAAAGTAAGTGACTGCAAAAATTGTTCTGCCAGATGGACCGGATAAAGTGATCAACACAGAAAGAGGATGAAGACGGTGATGTGCCTTTGGAGGATGCATGTAGGATTTTTTCGTACGACATGACTTTGGCTCTCTATAGTTCTTCCACCACTATGATACACTCTTGGCCATCTATTGAAACCAGATGGACGACTTTTATTTTGAAAAGAGAAGATTTTCTACCGGAAGTATAAATGTCGTCTCTGTTTTACGGCCAGGACGGACTCACTCGGGGATATATTTTGATTGTCCTCCGAAGTTTTCTGAACTATCATTTCAACTGCGATTTCTTGTGGGAATGGAGACAGTAGCATATATTTCTGTTGTAAAGTGAAAAATACAGGAGAAATTTAAAGGTAGGTGTTTTTAGCAGTTTTCTTTACTACTAAAACTAGCTAACGTGCAGTTAATATCACACAGAACTTCCTCTTACGATGCTGACGAGAAGCTAGCCGTTTTTAGCTTTGCTAGCTTATTAATTTACCTCGTTAAAGTGTAGATCGGCAGAAACCCTCTTTGGGCACTAAACAAAGTTTTATGTCTGGCAAGGTAAACTTATATAAACCACGTTGTCGAACAAACTGTCCTGCGGGCGCGTAACGTTAAACACGTCACCTCAGCTAGTCAGCAACTCGTTGGGCAATTATATAGTTGAGCACTAGCTTCCTGCTAGCCAAAGCTGATTTCGCTAGCTAGCAGACTTGTTTTCCAGATGGAAAGTGTAAAAACTACACTCTTTTATGTCGTTGTGTAAGATTATGTGATCAATCTTTTGTAATTGAAGCTGTTTCCCTTCCACTTTTATGAGCTGGGTGGGCTTTTGAATGCGGTACAACGTTATACTCAATTTCGTTAGCCTACTTTGTTTGCACTTAAAGGAGTTTTCCACCTGATTGAGCAGAACCTTTTCACTAAGTCAGTGGAACAGGTCGAAAACTGTGTTATTTATTCTGCCTATTATGAATACCTTTTAAATGTTTATATATTTCTTAGAAATCATCATCAAATGGTTTTGAAATGGTGTAATATGTTGTCCCTTTGTCCCCTTTATGGGGTAACAGAGGCCGTTTTGTTTTTTGGGGTATTTTGTCATGCCTCTAAATGTCAATCTTTTTTTTTTTAAGGTATAATATTTTGTGTAATGACAATAATATCCGGCACTAGTACACTCAATGCATAGGTTTTTTGGTATTAGTCCTCATTTAAAGTAAGAGATCCACATGTAAAGTTAAAGGTCAGTTTGTGTTTGACTTTATGTTGTGTAACTAAATATAGGCATGGTTCAGGGATTGGAAAATGCTTACCTACACTGCTTATATCAACGGTCTGTGTATATGCGTATATTTCTGTATTTATAGGTGCTTTATTTTGTCCTTATGCACATTCCTTTTTCTTGTTTGCATTATTCGTTGCCTTACCGAAGAGTGTTGTAAAAACAGATTGAGAGCCACTGTACCGATTGAGAGCCACTGTACCGATTGAGAGCCACTGTACCGGAGTCAAATGCAACACAGCTGGCCAGTAAAGCTGATTCTGATCTGTCATCCCTTTATAGCATAGCCAACAGCATGCATGTTAGATTAATACAATTCACCCTCACTAGAGCTTTTTGTCAATGAGTCACAGCTTTCTCCTAATGGCCTGTCAATGTTTAACTTGACCAGTCTCAGACTTGGCGAAATTACTCTCTTTTGATGAATAGAAGTAGTTTTGGGACCCAACGTCTAATTCATTTGTAGGTGGCCTTTCTCACCACTTAGAACATTCATTTTCAAACAATGCTTTGCTCCTACTCGTGTCTGCAAGTATTAACATCCGAGGTGAAATCATTTTGAGCCAAGGTTATGTTTTTGGCAGGGGTATTGCATTACATTCGTAACATGCATTGAAAATTAGTTTCCAATTGTTCATCAACCCTGTCTTGGATCCTTGTATTGCCTATGAAAGAGCTCCCCGGTATATGCATAGTTTTTTGCGTTATAGCCAAACAAAACATTTTATTTTAAGCTGTAGTTTTAGTATTTACCACACATTTATAATCAGTGTGACTGTGAGACTGACAAGTAACTGTCCGTGACGCAGACACACAAGACCCAGGAGCTGTGAATCAAACCAAACATTTGCTTTTTTTGCAATACGTTTCCTATATACAACCATGGTTACTTAACTTGAATTTTCCTTTGGCTTGATGAATGTACCAGCAAACAATAATATCATTTTTGACTGCAAAAGGGAGGAATTTTCCACTGCTCTTTAAAACGTGTGTTGTCATGCATAGGGCCAGTCAGAATAAACATTATCAGTCTGTGGTTATCTTGAAATTCCCGTTAATCTAGGAGTAAAGCCAAACAACTTATGACCATGTGGATGCAGAAAACAACTTTAAAGAGCTGCCAGTGGCAACTGTAATCTAAGAACCAAGAATAAGTTTAGAGTTGATACATGTTTTATGATGCAATTGTGGTTTTGTAGCCTTGTTAAAGTCCTCTGTTTACTTTAGGATGCATTTTTAAGTAGTTCAGTGTAACGGTGACAAAGTTTTATTTATCGGTAAATATGAACCGCACGGCCTCAAAGGCAGCTGTACTTCCGACCGTTTTGGCAGTAAATAAGGTCAACATTTGCTTTCATCATATTGACTGATTTGTCACATGTTTACACAGTTTAAAGGCAGTGAAATCAGTACATCCATGGTTTTGATTAAACAGTGAGCACCATCACTGGTGTTGAATCCTTCCCCCGTCACTGTAGCGCTGAATGGAACAGGGCTACCCCCCACAATCACACCAGCCATGCGTTTCCTGCACCCCTGCTGTTTGTGTGAAAAGCTTTTAGCTGAGAAGACTTGTATATACTGACTGGGAGATGCATGATGTGGTGTGAATTCACCCAGAGCTTCCCATTCTGTAACACTGAATTTAATTCTACATTTAGCAGTGTCGTGCAGCGAAAGCATTGAATCTGGTTGAACTCTTCATTCAATACAGCATGCTATGATCTGACAAGTGTAGTGTAGGTACTTCATTGATCCCACAGTGGGGAAATTTCTGAAGTGGGTACATTAGCTGATCATATACATGCAAATGCACGTTCCTAGTGTATTACATTGTAACGTGAATGTTGTATTTCTGTTGATTAGTTTAAGATTGTCATGATTTAATCCTTCAGGTCCAATTATTGGTGTTATTGAGGCTGGCCAAGATCTTACATACTTAAGATGCAAGTACATTAGTGTTTGCTGCTGTGGTCCTGAAAATTGTAAATGCCTGCATAAGTGGGTGAAATGACTTGCCAAGAACTTGAGGTGACATTGAAATAAATAGGCTGCAACCTTTAGACTCGAACAGTGTGGTCCTTCTCCTTTATTGTCCTTTCCAGAACCCCACTGAGCAGCACAGTTGGTCCTGTATTGGTAGGATAATGGTATCTCCTCTTGCTGTCTGCAGTGCAAACAGACACAAGGGATTATTTTTAATTTGCTGTCTCCATGGTGCTGAATGAAGGAAACTGAAATGGTAAAGCCTTGTATTCACATCACTTTTTTTTTTTTTTTTGTCATGATAAAGAATGTCGCAATAAAGAATGTCGCAATCCTGTAGATAATTTAGCTGCCTGTCATTGCAGCCCTAGTGGCATCCGTAGTTTTACTGCTTTACTTATTTCATCGTAGTGCACCAGATAAACTGGAAAAATACCTTCCTTTATTGGTTGTAAGTTGGACTGTTTAGTAAATAGTGTTGAAGGCAATCACTCCAGTACTTCCTGCCCTCACTCTGTTCAATGTCAGTTATTATTATTATTATTATTATAATACTCTGGAAGATAATGGGATAATGGGCTAAATAAAGATTCATTAGGCTTAATTTTTTTTTTTTTTTTTTTTTTTTGGGGTTTTTTTTTATTTTTCCCCAGACTTTTTTTTGATACTGTGGACAGCAGTACCAGTTTAAAATATTTGGAGTTTGTTAGCCAGGCTCTCGGCTGTTCCTCTGTCCAAAGCTGTAGTAATTGAATGCATTGTCATTATAAGGAAGTCTGTCCTCTAGCTGGAATGTCACCGGAAATTAGCGGACGTGATGAACACTTAGCAGAAGAATGCTTTAAACCACTTGTTTCCAGTCCTGGAAGCTGATTATTGTATGAGGGATTTCTTTGAAGGTACAGTAGGTATTTGTACCACGCATGCAAAATTTGCCCTCCAGTACTGCGAAAGGGCAGGGAATCACTCTTAATACTCCAATTACCCAAAACCCACCTGGGCTTAAATACACACCATTATCAATCAGGAATTAAAGTTCAGAGTTGGGGGTGGTGGAATAATCATTATTGTGAAAGACTGGAGGTGACTCAACTACAGGTTTGTATAAAAATAGACTAGATCCTGTTCCATCTTGACACAGATTATAATCTGACTCCCAAAAAACTAATTACTCACTAATCATAAATTACTCTCTATTGTTATATCTTTATTGTCATTGTACATTGTACAACGAAATTAAAATGCAATCCTTCGATAATAAAATAATCATAAATAATAAAAAAAACCCCAGCAAAATTACACATTCACATCCATACACATCCGACTATTGCACGGCTCCCTTAAAATCACACAAAATAAATAAACCCATCTATCATTCAGATTTTAGCAGCATTTAAAGCAACAATAGCTCTCGGATAGAAGCTATTCCTTAATCGGTTTGTCCTTGCTTTAATTGTTCTGTATCTTCTCCCTGAAGGCAGCAGCTCAAACAGACAATGTTCAGGGTGTGATGGGTCCTGCAAAATGTTTTGTGCTTTTTTCAAGCAACGGGAACTGTACAGTTCTTCTAATCATAATAAGTACTCATGGAATTTATAAAGGCACCACCTGCATTTGGCAAATCAAAGAAAGGTGGTGTGTCTTTAAATTCCATGAGTGTTGTATCAACTGATGCAGACGATTTCGTGTAGGAGTTAACAGAAAGTTGAAACCATTATTCTGCCACAGTAGGCTTCCTGCCCTGGGGTTGTCTCGGGAACTGGGACACGATCCTAGTGTGTGTGATTTGTGGTTGTGTGCCATAAACGTCCGAACTTGTGTGTGTGTGTGTGTGTGTGTGTGCGCACGTGCACATATATATACACACACTTGCACGGAAAGTCCCTCTCACTCTCTGTGCCAGTGCAGGCCTTTCCAGTTTAATTATGCCTTTGGAGTGTAATTTCACATCGACTTGTGGGTTGCTTGAAATTGTTCCTCAGTCTCATCAAAATTTCCTCTTGCCCACATCACTTGACCAGTTGGCTTGTTACATCGGCAAGCTTTACTTTAGCCAGTACAGTGTAAGCTGTACTGCAAAGATCTCTTGATGCCTGACCAGCGGAAAAGTGTTTTCTGTGTTTGGTCCCTGACCCTGGTGGTGATCGGTGACACTCAGCAGCTGACAGATGACACTTGCACATAATGTTTTCTGTATTTAACCAAAACAGTATGTTGCAATGTCACATGAACATTAAAAAGGTCTTTGGCTCCCATTGGAGGAGAAATAGTTGAACAAGTCAACTCAGTATGGGGTAGTAACTGCACGTTTGCAAAAACCCAAGTAGTGCTGACCTTGTCATGAGGGGAGAAAACCCACAGCTAATCAGAAAAACCTTTGTCTGTTACGAGACTCCATTTGGGCTTTGTAGGATTACTGCCTCAGTTGAGTTTTGCAGTGAGCTTGTTGGTCATCTTTTGGCTCCCAGTGGAATGTCCCTGAAATTGGTCCCTAATCAAAAACACAGCTTTGGAGGTCACAGGCACAGCAGGTAATAATTCTCCGGTCTCCATATTGTTGATCAGTTTGTATGCATCTGGTGTCTTTTGTGTCAGTGTATGTATGGCAGCTAGACAGAATCATAAGAATCTACAAGTGCGCTTAAACACTGTTCTCACTGATGAGGTATCCTGAAGTTGCCTTATTGTGTGAAATAAGGGTGTGTGGAAGCGTTATGCAGCAAGGTGCAGCTGCTCTAGGGACACACTGACACACAGCTGTGGAAACATCTGCATCTACAGTACACTTGACTAATATACAGGAAGGCAGGCATTTATACACAGAAGATATGTCTGCAAGAACACCCCTCATCAGAGGGACAAGTAAACTAAATAGATTTTATCTGATTTTTAATGTCCTATCTCCAGTTGATTGGTTGTCAATGCATCATGAAGGACAGATCACTACAGTTTGCTTACAGATGCTTTAGGTTTTACAGCAGAGTATTAAAAGATGATGCATTCAGCTGATCTTTTTCTCCTCTCTCCTAGATTGGTTTCCTACATCTGTCTCGCAGCCTCAGCAGAGCCCCTTCATCACTGTGATTTAAACCAGGGACAGACCACAACACTGACTTCGAGATCTCAGCAGATTTAAGCCACTATGTCTTAGTTAACAGTGCCTCATCCCCTTCCCCTGACCACCCTGCCCCCTCTCTCCATCTTCTTCCCCCTCGCCCTTCCTCATCTTTTCGCCGGCTGTAATAATTTGTGGTTGTAACAGTAGTGGCACCTCTTCTTGCATGATGAGCAGCCTGCAGGAGCAGCGTCATGGCAGCACAGCCTCAGAGCGAGATCTTCACTCTGCTGCCTCCTCTGCTAGCCTTCCTCCAGTTAGAAAGGCCCCCAGGAAGCGCCCTCCATCACTCCACTCTCTCTTCAGTCGACGACGCCGGTCTGATTGTGACCCCAAATGCAAGTCCAAGCCTCTGCAGCCTGGAGCTGGTGTGGACGTCGTTGCCCGCATCGAAAGCGTGCAGTCAGAGACGGTCCATGATAAAACTTCTCCACACTGTGCACTAGGTGAGACGTCAACTTCGTCAGTGTCGGGGTCTTCATTAGAGCTGCTGGAGTGCCCTCTGTGCTTAATGCGCCATGCACGTGAGCGCTTTCCAGACATCATGACCTGTCACCACCGTTCATGTGCAGACTGCTTGCGACAGTATCTGCGAATTGAAATCTCAGAGTCTCGTGTCAACATCAGCTGCCCTGAGTGCTCAGAGCGTTTCAATCCCCATGACATCCAGATGATCCTGGGAGATAGAGCCCTCATGGAGAAGTATGAGGAGTTCATGCTGAGGCGGTGGCTGGTTGCTGAACCTGACTGCCGCTGGTGCCCTGCTCCAGACTGTGGGTAAGAAACGGTGTCACAGGCAAAATAGTGACTTATCTTTTCTGTAAAGCACTTTCTAAACAAAACTACAAAGTAAAAATGGTAAAACAAGGAAGAATAGAAAAGTAAAAACAAGCCGGGTTAAAAAGAAACTTAAATGGCCAAAGTGGAAAATCCCAAAAGGCCAGGTTTGTTGACAGGGGCCTGAACTGAGGGTAACGCGCTCTCCCTGTTCACTAGGTTACAATGTCACCTGCTTTTTACGGCACCTTTAGGCCATGAACACAGTGTAATTGTGCACATTTTGTTTTGCGACAGGTGCTGGCTAGACTATAGATAACTCTTCATGTAGTTTTAGAGTTTAGGTTCACTGGTCCACATTTCCTGCATTCAGTCCTCATCATCAGTTTAGTTTTGAGCGATTTGCTGGATTCAATCATGCGTTTCCCCTGCAGCCACTGTCTTGGCTTTGTTTCATCAACACTGCTGACCTGGCTTTTTCATGAATTTGTTTTCGCTCTTGTTCTCATCCTCCGAACTGTTCAGCTCTGGCTCACTGCCACCCTCTCCCCTGGTTAATGCTCACTGTGTTGCTGTACAACAGCACTTGGGCTTCGTTGTCAGCAGTTAGGTTTGACAAGTTGAAGAGGCCTCTGCACGGAGATGAATGTAGTATGTTTTTTTTTTGTGTACTTAGAGGGACCACCAGTTATCAGTGTATATAGTAAAATGTATGTGTGAAACACGGGACTTTAGTCAAGCCAAAAGGCCATTTAGACACTCTCTCATCCAGTTTACAACTTTTACACCATTTGCCACCAGTGTGTCTCACTGAGGTGTTGGTGGAGACTGTCTAGACTCAATTTTTTTGGGTGTATATATCCACACATACGCCTCCCACTGCTTGGCTGTCAAGTATGTCCTTTGTAAGGGTGGACAGAGTAAAATCCTTATTTCATAACCTCAGTTACCAGTACTTTCATTTTTGCTTATTCCTCTGACATCAGAAACCTCAAACTTACTCTGTCACGTTTGTTTTTGTTTCACTTTAAAATTTTGTATTTTATCGAACTTCCTGTAATGTGTTTATTAAAAAAAAAAAAAAAAAAAATTAGCAATTATGCAAGTGTTGGCTTTAGATGCAACTAACCTCCAAGCTTAAGAGCGGCAGATGAACATTCTTGGATTTTACAGCATGACAAATGAATGGAGCAATAAGCACTTGACTTTTTATTTATTTGTTATTCGAAGGCGAGTATTGTGTAATACATTTTAACCAAGGCTTTTACCCAGTTGACAGGGGTGTGTGTATGAGCCAGTAGCTGTGATGTATACTACATATCAGCAGATGCCATCATTTCTGCATAATACAAATAATTTTCTGGGTATATGTACTGAGCTGAATAAGAAGTTCTGTGTTCTACAGAATTGCATAGGACTTTTAGTGTTGGAGTGGATCATTTTGAAGGTTTCATGCAAGCTGCAGATTCAGCCCTGGGCCTTTTATGCTTTTGCACACAATGTCCCACTATAGAGCAGTCAAATTGTCCAGGTATGTCAGTGTTTGGTTTTCCTTATCACCTTTTCCTAATGTTCCCATGATGACAACAATGCTGAATAGCTGCAACAATCTCATGGTTTAGCTGAGGTTTTAGTACGTATACCTACTTTATTGATAGACCAGGTCCTCGGCACTCCTTTTTACAGTATCTATGATGTTCTTTTCAACAAAAATAATTATCATATTCAGACCAAACATAGCTTCCTGTGTCAAGCTACCATTCACTTTATTATTTTCACAAATAATAAAACCAGTTTTATAGCAGCAGTTTGTCGAATTATATTTGATAGGAGTGTTTATAACAAAAATTGGACTTTGGCTTGTGTCGTGAACTTTCCAATAAAAGCTATCAAATAGACCATTGTAATAACTGATAAGGGAAACCAGGGTGACATGCAGAACTAATTGTACAATTATTGATGTATTATAACAGCTTATTGGAGTCATAAAATGTCAGCTAATTTCCTGTGTTTATATAACAAACCCATGGCATGGTGATGGATTGTCTGGAGATGTAAATCACACCAGTTGACGGTATACTGTGAAGTTTAGCAATAAACATCAGTTTGATTCTCCTGTTCTACTCTTGTACTTGATATTTTAGCTCTGCTGACCCCTAGTGTTAGGCTGAGATACTACACCCATGCTCTCAACTAGCAACTATTAACCAGCACATTGGCTGTATTACCCCTCTCTTAGTTATGCAGTCATTGCATTTGGCTGTGCCAGCTGCCCAAAGATCACCTGTGGGCGTGAGGGCTGTGGGACGGAGTTCTGTTACCACTGTAAACAGCTGTGGCATCCCAACCAGACCTGTGACACTGCACGACAAGAAAGGGCCCAGAACCTCCGGCTGAGGAGTTTCAGGTCATCCTCCCTCAGCTACAGCCAGGAGAGTGGAGCTGCAGGTAAAATAAGTACCTGCATACAACTGATCATGGAAAAACCTGGCCGGTTTTTGGCATTTACTCACATTTCACACGTGTGCCCTCAGCACACAGCCACCGATTTTAGCCTTGTAACTTCATAGTATGCACTGTAAGATTTCACCAAATAAATATTCAAAATGCTTCTGATTTCCTCTTTACTAGGTGATGATATCAAGCCGTGTCCACGTTGTGCTGCTTACATCATTAAAATGAATGATGGAAGCTGTAATCACATGACCTGCACTGTGTGCGGCTGTGAGTTCTGCTGGCTCTGCATGAAGGAGATCTCTGATCTGCACTATTTAAGGTGAGTCAGTCGTACAGTTGACAGAACACGCTCATTTCTGCACAGTGGTAACACGGGTAACAGTTTTTGCTCTTCAGTTGAATTAAAATTTTTGTTTAGTAGTTTTGTAATTGTATTCAGTGATGGTCTGTTTTGCACTGACTAGAAGTTTCTTCTGCCTTTGGTCATTTAATGATCCGAACTTGAGTTGTTCCACTTCCAGTTTAAACTTCACTTGTAGCCATAATTCACACGTTTTCCTCACACACAAAGTATATCTGTACCTACTTTCCCCTTCCTTTCTCTCTACTGCTTTCTCAGCCCGTCAGGCTGCACCTTCTGGGGAAAGAAACCCTGGAGCAGAAAGAAGAAGATTCTGTGGCAGCTCGGCACCTTGGTGGGAGCGCCTGTGGGTATTGCCCTTATTGCTGGCATCGCCATCCCTGCAATGATCATTGGCATCCCGGTCTACGTGGGCAGAAAGGTGAGTACTAACACCCGGCAATCATATATTTCTTATACTGTATCAGATTTGAGAAGCATTTTATTTTACAGAGATGAACAAAAGGATTTTCCGTAGTGTGCAATTTTACTGCAGCACACAGAATATTGTCTAAAAATCTCTCTAGTTAATCTTGTTTACAGTAATTATAATTCACTTATTTGCCAGTGATGCGATTTGTTCCAAACGATTTCCCCTTTAGATTTATAACCGCTATGAGGGCAAGGACATCTCTAAACACAAGAGGAACATGGTAATAGCTGGTGGTGTGACTCTGTCAGCGATTGTGTCACCTGTGGTTGCAGCAGTCACTGTTGGTAAGAAAGTGGTGGTGGTGTTTTTATTCCCTTAAATGACTTCATATATTTCAACATCTGCCTCTGAACCAAATTTTAAATATTTAAAGAGGTTGCATTGGTGGGCCAGTGCTCTGTAAACAAAATTCTGGGTTTGAAATTGGCCCAATATTTGTCACATGCTTTTCTGTTCCCTCTGCGTTGATCGCTCCAATAAAGGTGGAAATTCTGGGAAAAATCGGCAAAATATTCCCATTTTACTGCTTTTACCTGCACTAAACTTTCATTGGGGTTGTGTGTGTTTATATTGTGTTGTGTAGGCATTGGTGTTCCCATCATGCTGGCTTACGTCTATGGAGTTGTACCGATCTCACTGTGCCGGAGCGGTGGCTGTGGCGTGTCTGCTGGCAATGGCAAAGGGGTGCGAATCGAGTTTGATGATGAAAACGACAATATAGCTAACGGGGCTGCAGCCACAGGTGAGCATCTGTGACAGACTGATGGATGGGGGAAATTTTATATTTCACAGAACATGGGGAAAAGCAGTGTCTTTTGTTGTTGTTGTTGTTGTTGTGATCTTTGGAACATGAAAAACACCAGCTAAACAGTCAATACACTGTGAAATATATCAGATAAAAAGCAAATCTCCAAACGCAGGAATGTCGGTAAATACAGTTCACATTTGAGTAGCCATGATTATTCATAGTCCATGAAGCGCTAAAACAGTTGATGGTAACTTTAGACCTGTGTGATGGTGTGAAATGACTAGCAGAGATGACAGTGTGTTTGTTACTGTCAAAGTCACAGCTGTGTTGGGTGAAGGTTGTGTTGATTTCCCAGGAGGTATTGAGACAGATGGGTTGTTTTCTCACAGGTTCTTTCATCACTGTGAATAGTAATTATGAATCCACATGACAGCAGGGGCTTCTTAGGAACATATGGTGTGAGTCATGATGCCATATCTACACCCTGAGAGCTCATTAATCTGTTGTAAAGCATATATAAAATTGAAGTCCTTGATATACTGTAGCTTGGTAGGGTCAAAAAGTGATTTTTATCAGACACGATCATTCGTTTCTGTTTCCACCTTTTCTTCACAGACACAACCTCAGTGGCAGAGACACGGCTCAACAATGCCAGCCTCGGAGATGGAGCGAGTGTTGGTGGTCTGACCGGCCTGAGCCTCAGTGTCAGTGGGAGCCACATGGAGCGTTGTGGCATGAGCTCCACCCAGCGGGATAACATGAGTGACAATGCCAGCACCACAGCCCTTGCTGGGACCAGCATCACTGGCAGCCTGTCTGGCAGCTGCTACAATAGGTAATAGACTGGACCTGACCACTAAATATATGGGCAGACATGCATCGACTCATCAAAAGTTGAATTATATTTTGTGCCAATTATTATTTCCAGGATGGAAGTGCAGGCTGATGTCCAGAAGGAACGCTGCAGTCTGAGTGGAGAGTCAGCCACTGTCAGTCTGGGGACAATCAGTGACAACGCAAGCACAAGGGCCATGGCCGGTTCCATCCTCAATGCCTACATGCCACTAGAAAGGTTAGTTGTTGGAGCACACTTTTCCTACTTAGTGCAGAAGCAAATTTAAGCTCCATGTGCAGGGTTTTGAAAAAATAGTTTTTATAGCGCCTTCTAATACCTTATGATCAAATTTTATGGCTCCTACTTTAAGGAGCAGTCTCCATCTGGTTGATGATCAGCCAACTTTGAGTGTTTAAATCAGTTCTTAAAGGCATTTTGTTGATTCTTTCTTGCCTTGTTCTTATTTCTTAGTAACTTTTTTTGTTGTTGTGATTGTTGCATTTTGTCTAATTGCTTTATCTTTACCTGAAACACAGTGTAACCCTGGTTTTGAAAAGTACACGGTTTTACTTAAGTATTTTTGTAAGCTTTCTGCTTTTATAGGTGCTGGAAACAAAACTATCTAGGGGCACTTGAGGGTTTCTTTTGTCATTTAGTTACTTGGAATTGTTTGGTTTGTAGTTTATTCTTAATCAGCATACAAGTGAATATGCACGATAGATTCCAAAAATATTATAATGTGAAATTGTTTTATTGTCAGTAAATTTGGAATGATTTTATTTTGTAGAGACAATAGTCTGGAAGCTCAGGCAGATGTGGACTCCCAGCAGGAGTGAGACATGTCAGCGCCAGTAGCAGCCTGGATGAAGCCAGCTGTAGCAGCAGTGCTGCCGGCCTTAAAGGTGCCAATGGTGACACATGTCTGTGCCTACACCCCCCAACCCGCCGCTGTGCTCAACACGACAACCACTGCTGCCCCTTGTCTCCCTGGTCAAAGGAACCATCCACTTCAGGGGTCAAAAAGGGCAAAGGAAAGCGCTGGAAAAGAGCTAGTGGCAACAAAGGAGAAACGAAAATGAATGAAACGCAAGCAGATATGGAGGCTCAGCTGATGGAGCAGCGCAGCAATAATTCCTCTGAGTTTGATTCGCCATCCCTGAGTGGCAGCCTGCCCTCTGTTGCCGACTCGCACTGTAGCCACTCGTCATCAGAGCTCAACTGCTCAGACCCTGAAACCTCAGGACCAGCTCATCCACCGTGCTCTGCCCTGATGGACCCCAGCGCTCATCATCCAGCTGCAGCTTTCAGTGACGTCACCATCACATCCATGCCTGAGGTGGAGAACGATCGTCTAGAGCGTGATCCCTCTCAGAGTAGCCATGCAGCCTTCATGAACCACCTGTTTTCTTCATCCCCACCTGCTTCGCCAAAAGAGGGAAATAGCGGCACATTTCTGTACATCAAGGAGAGTGTCGGCGACATCACACACACAGAGCCAGAGAAGGACGAGAGCATGAAAGAGACCGTTGACAACACTGACGCACAGCCTGCAAGTCCAGCAAGGAAGCGCTGTATACAAACTGATATCTAACACAGCCCGTGCTGGTGTTGGCTTAGTTGGCCTTATCGCCAGCACTAACCTCACTCTGAATCAAGAGGCCCACAAGTTTAAACAAATGTATCTACTGTGGAGGCAGGAATATTATATGAATGTCAGTTTGTACAGTTACAAAGAGGGTCAAGGTCTACAGTAAGTTAGAGAGGTTTGTGAATAAAGTCAAAACGGGTGGTTGGGTTCTTCAGGGACAGGATGAGAGGACAGGTGCAGCGAGGTCTATAGAAGGTAAAGCTGAATGTATGTGGAGATGTGTAAAAGCAGGTGATCTGTGTGGTGAGACGCTATCCAACTGTTATGATGATCTGCAGTCTGACGTTTTCAGTCAGTACCCCTGAATGACTTTCTGAATATAAACTCAAGCCACTTTTTACCCTTTTCTTATAACAAGCAGAACTGATACAGTTGGATAGGAGCAAGTAAAATGTCTTTCAGCTGCTTTATAAGGCATTAGTCTTTCACATCTGCAACAATCTGGCTTTCTTTGGTGTTTGCATGCATCAGATGTCATCACAGATCCACCACTGTGCCGCTGGTTCCTTCTGTCACCTTAAAATGGCTTGTGGAAGACCACAGCGAATGGACTGCTGAGCATGTAAACCTAAGAAGGGCCGGTCCATACAGTAGCAGATCTTTTTTTTTTTTTCCCATAATCAGCTATAAGAAGAAAAAGTTTCTCTTAAAATGTGACTCCTGTTTTTTTTGTGCTCTGTTTGCTTATTTTTATTTTCCATTTTGGGAAAGTTGGTTTAATTGTTCAAGCCCTATGATGCCTCCAAACCTTGTGGTGGTGGGAACTGTTGACAAGGACGCGAACCTTAGCCGGTCGTTGTGGATGTAAGACAGCTGCCTGCACTGGTAGAAGTTTTTTCTTTGTTGTTGCACCTGTGCAAATGTAACCAAGTATTCAGTGCAGTTTTAGTACATTAATGAATTAGAAGAGGTGTATTAATGAAAAGGGAATTTTAAGTTATTTCTTGTAAACACATAACTGAGAAAGAGAAAAAAAGCCCACTTTTTAAATTTGAACCTGTAGCATTTCTTACAATTATATCTTGTATAGTAATCATTCACTAAAACTGTACAGTCATCCACATAATGTGTTTGCAATAAGAAAACTAAGCTTTCAAGCAGCTAGACAGATGTGTCCAGGCAGGGAACACAACTTCATAGCAAAGTTCAAACACATCTTTTGGTGATTTAATATTCAGCAGTGAATATATATATATATATATTACATTTTTCATTCTCCCTCAGTTGAATCCAAACCAAAATATTTTTGATTCAGAGCTTTGGGTGTATTTTTTTAACTACAGTATGTTTTTAATGTTTCCTAAATCCTTACATAGGATTGCAAAAAAAAAAAAAAGTGTATTTGTTTGACCCACTGTGCCTTTTGGGGGGGGGGGATATTTCCATTTCCTCAGTCTGCATGTCTTCAAATGGTAAACATAAAAATCAAGAGAATGAATTGTGTTGGCCTTATAACATGCATGAAACCAGATGCTAAATACTCGGCCTCTGCATTGCTGGTGTGGCCTACCAAAGACTGCTTTCAGGCCACTGCAGTTAAAACTAGAACACTTGACAGAAGTGTTAATGGAGTTATTATGCCGTGGCAGCGCAGCATTGGACTAAACCTAAATCTGGGGCGGTCCCTGCAAACTGAAGAACAAAATGTTTGCGTTTAAGTCACTTTTTGGCTGAAGTCAGTTCCCCTGTGTTGTTGGTCAGCTCTGTTCTAATGATTTTTTTTATTCAAAGTGATCAGCATCTGAGTGCAATGATACATCTTTCTTTCAGAAGCTGTAGTTCATTGACCAGATTTCTCTTTCTCAACCAGCTAGACTCTGCATCAATCATCTCAGAGTAATGAGTTGGTCATCAGAGACTGATGGTCCCTCAATGGGAAAACAAAGGTTTGATTTCTCTGAGTTTTATGTTATTATTTGAAGACTAATGCCAGGTCTGTTTTCTAACTGGGACAAAAGAATTACCATTTATAAAATGTATTTCCTGATTGTTTGCTTTATTATTTGCATTTAATGCATATCATTAAATAAAATTCTCAATCAGGCTTTGCTGTCTGTACATTTTGACATGGAAATGATTTTGATTGTCATGTTGTGGTGCAGTCAGTCACACTGTACAGTTACTGTTGTGACCATTGAGCAGCTTTAGTGACGGACATATTCGTTCTACACAAAGGGGGTAAAAGTGCCTTATTATGAACTTGGAGAAAGGCACATTAAAGCGTTCACAGAGTTTATTTACATACAGTACATGCTCTTACATTTTGTGAAGCGACACATAATTTGTAACGCTTAAGCCTCAAAGCATTCAGTAGAAAACAAGGGAAAAAAAGGAATTAACCAAGGTCATATGTTGGACAAACCGAATTAATACACCAATACTGCAAAGTACAAGCGAAATAATTGTTGCATATTGTGCTATACAAATATTTTACGTTTTTGAGTGTTACAGAAAGAAATGAAATCCACGTAAAGGCCCTTTAATCAAACTAATAGCGCATGTATTTTCTAAGCTCCTTGCTGCAGCAAAGATGTGAACATGAGTTGTGACAGATGCAGCGGGAGACGTGTGAAACTTAAACTCTTATACATGCACAACAACACACAGTTATCCTGGCTGCATTCAAACTTGAACCTGAGACCAAAAGTAAATCTTACAGTACGTGATTACCTCTAACCCTACCTTAGGTAGCTGGATATTTATCTAAAACCAGTGATAAGACACCTTATAACAAGACTTTTTGGATATTTTTAACTGGAAATTCATTATTTTACCATCTTAAATTTAAAGTTAGGGCATGATGCTTCACTATGGAGGTACTTTACCTGTAGAAATGTGCAACATTTTTCTGGATTTATAACCTTTGGATGTTTTTAAAGGTATTTCGGGCCTCTCTTATTTCCACATACAATTACACATAACCTGTACCTCCAACACATAATGTGTTTGAATTAGTTCTCCTGCCATAAGCTCAGTGAATCATTTTGGCGCCACACACAACAGCTTTAAAACCCAATCAAAACACAACTTTTAATCTGTCATCCTAGCTGTGCTGAAGTTTCAATAAGGCACACATTAGACCCTCTCCTTCCACATTATCATTACAAGAATCTGTACATTAATATTGTAACAAATGATTTACAGTATAGTGCAAGCAGGTAACAAGTACCTTGAGATAAGCCTTTCTAAACAAAGCTGTCCATTATGTAAGGTTGTGTACTCAGGTGTTATGGTGTGGTTTGCACACATTGCCGGTGGTGCAGAGCTGAAACACTGGTTGTCCGAGGAGCTCATCCTAAAAGTCAATGTTAGTCACTTCCATGTTTTAAAGTTCTTACTTACTCTATGGCTTTAAAAGTCCTTTTCCTCCAGAACTGCTACAGTACAGTGTCCATACCTGTTTCATTCTTCTACCCCAGTCCACAAAGAGCCATCACGCCTGGAAGAAACGAGTAAAAGTCAGTGGTTGGTGGTTTTGCTTGATCTAGGTTTGTGTGTGACTCTTACTTCTGGAACAAAGTCACTTCTTGATGTGTGTTTGTCCGTATAAATCTCTCACCTGTGGTGTGTGTGTCACGTTGTCCATCAGGCTTTGTCTCAACAAACCTGTCACCACCTCAAGCTCCTGCTCAGCCTCCTGAACATTTGGGTCCAGCTGGAGGACTTCCTGGAGGTCACTGCTGGCAGACAGGTAGTCCTATGTGGATATAAACACCCACAGAAGTAATGGATATGCATCTGTGTGCAAATGCATCTAATCTAACATCTTCAAAATAATCAATGTGAGTGTGCTGGAGACTGACAGTCACCTGTAAACCTTTATAAGCCAGGGCCCGTCTGTAGAAGGCTTTCTTGTTGCCCGGCTCCAGCTGCAGAGCAGAGTCACAGTCCTGTTTGGCCTCTTCAAAGCGACTTAGTTTCAGTAGGCAAATGGCTCTGGAGCAGAATGAAGAAAAGAAGAGAGTGAAAAACATAATGTAGGATTCTGCTTTCAAGATACTGACATCTTAAATCAATTGCAGATTTAACTTGTTTTTTTTTGGCCTGGTGTAAGTCAGTTTAAAGAAGGCTACCAAGACAGCTCTCCTAGCTGCCACATGTATTTGATGCATTGTGTTAATGTTTTCTATCAGTTCCTCTTGTTCGAAATCAGTCCAACTAGTTTCTGTTCAGCTGTGGAACCTAACCTTTGATGAATACACAGTAACCAAATTCTTCTGGATATCACAAAGGGTTAAACTGCCCAGCACCTTAGGGTTGCACATGTGTAATATCCTCTCACTGAGGAATCCAATTTGAATTCTGCATCTGAAAGGGCACGATTTCACACAAAAGCATAGAACAAATGTTACATTATGATTAATTCCTTACATACACTATCTGTTTAAAACTGACTGTGCTGGCCCTCAGTCTCACAAGCAGGATTATATTTGGTGTTACTGACAATGATACAAGCTTGGAGTTGACACACAGATGATTATGTGGTGCCCTCTATTGTTTTTTTTAGAATAAGCTATGAGACAGAAACCTTAGAAATTTAGAACTCAGTGTAGAAGGTGTTGAGGTCATCTGACAGGCTGTCAGTGGAGCTGATGATGCTGGTGGTGGTCCTGTAGTCTGTGATGTGCTGCAGGCCTTGCCACATCCGTCCGGAGTCAGCAGTAGAATAGAAGCCATTCAGCTTTTCTCTGTACTGCCTCTTAGCTGCTGTGATGGCTTTCCTCATTCTGTACTTTGCAGCTTTGTACTCTGTCTCATCGCCTGATCTGAATGCATGAGAGTGAGCACGCAGCATGTGGTGTACCTGACTGTTTATCTAGGGCATCTGGTTGGGAAACCTCCTGACTTGTATGGTGGGCACAGTGTTGTCGATGCAGGTACTAATGTACCCGGTCACATACTCAGCACAATCCTGTACGCTCAAGTAAAGCTTCAAGTTAAATGCTACGGCGTTTTGATGCCTACCTGTTTGTGTAGAGAGCACATTCATCAGGTTTGAGGACAAGACATTCACTGTACTTTTCCAGAGCCACTCGGAAGTGTCCTTTCTTGACCAGATCATTGCCTTCCTTTTTCAACAACGTAAAGTGGGCTGCTTTCCTTCTGGCTGTTGACAGAAAAAGGATTTTTTTGCAAACATTCAAAACTGAAACAAAAGAAAGAAAATTCAGTTACACAATGTGATTCATGTTAAGAAAACTGCCACTATCCTTTTGATTGATTAAAAAATGACAGTATGATTAAAATAGTTTTCACATTTGGTTCATTTTTCTTTAGCGGAGGTTATCTATATGTGACACATGGTAAGTCATTCAAGAAGCTTTTCAAATCAGTTCAGCACACAAAACTTTTTTTCGGAGTGATCAATAAGTCCATCAGTCTGTCAGCAGCAGTCTGAATGGGCCAAAGGGGAAAAATCATCTCCTGCTTACTGAGCGCTCTGCTGTGCTGACAAAGCCACTATGTCTAATGTCTTGGGGAAAACACAGAGACACTTACAAATTCATGTATGAACACACAGACTCAGATACGACCCAGTTATTGACACAACGTCTGAATTTATCTAGTGAGACAAGAAAACCGATGCAGCGAGGCTCAACAGAAACACATGGCATGTGTTTGTATCCTAAAAGGTGATTCTTCCTCTGGCTGAAATACCTGTCACTACTACAGTGATGACAGCTGTCATTCGTCAGACTTTCTATTCCAAAAACCTTCTATAGCTGAAAAACACTTCAGTAAAAGGGAAGGATCTCAGTTCAGTGACCAGTCCAAATGTTAAGTACCAAAACAACAAAACAACTAGTCTATTAATAAATCAGTCTTTTCATAGTTTCCCTTTTATGGGCAATATGGACTCATAAAACCATGCAGTAGTAAAATAGTTAAATATTTGGCAGCAGCATCAGCCCTTACTGTGGCAGTGGGAAGAAGAAACAGCTACAAGCATCAGGAGAATAATGAAGTGGAGAACAAGAAATGAGCTGCCATATGCAGTGGTGAAAGCAAGGCCTACAAAATAAAACTAAATAGACACACAGGATGCTCTTACTCGTTCAGTGGACGCTGTATATGGAGAAGGGCACACAACTGATGAATTAAGAAGATGGTTTGATCTCAAATCTGAGGCAACAAAACAAACACAGAAGAGAGTGGAGTGGACCAGTGGAGGAGGACAGGCCAACTCTCTCAGGTGTGCCATCAGCTGAGCAGACCTCCATGAGGGCACCCAGGTCCCTTCAACTACCCTGAATCTCATCTCAGGTGCTGGACAACCAAACACTTACACAGACAGCCTCAATACTGGCCAAAATATCCAGGAGTGATTTCATGTCATTGAGTGCAATCACAATTACTGGATAATACTACCAGCACCAGCTTTTCCTGAGCACGGTAGAATCTATGCACAGAAGCCAGTCAAGAAATACTAAAAACATTTTTTTAAATGTATTAAAAACTATTATTTTTATCTTTTCTATCCCATGTTTAACACATTCCAGGATTCATTTTGCAGTTAAATTACTTTTAGTTGATCCCAGATTTCCAGAGTGACATTAGCATCCTTCAGTCAAAAGGCACAACCCTGCTGGTTACATGTACAGGAGGAGAGGCCAGTAGGTAAAGTGATACAGACGGTAACTGTAAGTGCAAGTGAGGAAATCTGTTTTACTCAAAACACTGCAGGGGTTGTGGCTGCATTGACTTCATAGCCTGGTTCAGACTAAATTGCTGACATAATGTTGACTTTTGAAAAGGCAGAAGCTGGTATCTTATGGAACTGTATCCATCCATCCATTATCTATACTGCTTATTCCTGAACAGGGTCACAGGCGGGTGGCAGCTGGAGCCTATCCCAATCCCAGCTGACAGACATTAGGCTAGAGGCAGGGTACACCCTGGACAGGTCGCTAGTCTATCACAGGGCTGACATGTAGACAAACAAATACGCACACTAATATTCACTCCTATTCAATTTAGAGTTGCCTATCTTATCCATTAGAAGCAAAAGATTTTGCTAATTTTCTGTGACAAACTAGGATTTTACCAATAAATTATGTGTTGAACCACTTCTCGCCTGTTTCCCCAGCAACAGCAGAGCCCTATTCTGAAATTAGTGCTGTTCTGTTTATGTACTATAGTTATTAAATCTTTATGTCTGTGCTGAAAACGTCTTGTGCTTTATGTAGGTAAGATTTAAATCCTGAGGTCTGAATACAAATAAAGCATTTTATTAGCTACTGTACGTACATTTTTATAACTGTGTACAACACTGCATATATTTAAATGTATTTGAATATCTGATACATGTGTAATCTTGTGGTGTGTGTGAACAGGAGCAGCGTACAGGAAACCTGAGCTGGCCTGTTCCATTACGGCAGCACTACACTGTGCTTGGATCGCCTTCTCCTCTGCATTATTGATGGTCTGCCCAGAAACACACACACACACACACACACACACACAGTCTCTCAGCAGTAGTGCCTTCACTGAGTACCTGACCAACACTTGCAGTGACGGCTTTGCAATTCCACATTTCAAGGATTTTATTGCTAAAGTTACCACCCACAATTCAGGCAGGATGAAAAATCATTAAGGTGGAGATACAGTACACAAGAGAATGTGTCCCCTAACTGTGTGTCCTCTTTTTGAAAACCAGTGCATCACAGTTATATGCAGTGATACAGTGGAAACTGAGGTTGGATGTATGCTTCTGAATGAAACTGGGAGGTTACTCACCCTTAGCACATGTTTGCATTTAAAGTGTAACACTTTGTATTTCACAAAACAGCTCATTAATCTTTGAGGAAGTGATGTCACTCACCTTCCTCTTGTGCAGCTCTGGCGGCTCGGGCCTGGGCCAGCTCGATGCTGATTGGTTTCTGTCTGTGTTGCTGCTGGACAGACAGAGGGACGATGGGAATTTCTGGAAGCTTCTCTCTCCAACCAGGCCCGTCCTGCTTGATCAGCATCTTGGTGATCCTGATATGAGACATGTAGAGTGCAGTGTATTATGGCCAAAAGGTTTTAATAGTGCAAGTTTTGTATGAGAAGGCTCTACTTTGTGACATTTCTACACCTACTGTAGCGAATTGATGCTCTCCTTGGTATTGAATGTGCTTACTTAATGACACCATGCAGCAACCTGTAAATCCAACTCAAGGCTTCAAAGACTCTCTCTGTGGCTAAAATCACAGACTGTGTTGCTGTTGCCCAGTTCAAGGACCACATTTATCAGTGTCAGTATGTGCCAAGTCTGAGCAAGTTATAACAGACTATCCCATTTCAAAGGCTCTTTCAAATGCAGCATTATTTTTTGGTGACAGTGAGGCTAGGCTGTCCCAGTAGCAGATGGGACCTGGCCTTCCTGGGTTGCAGCCTCCCTGATTCTCGCTTGACCGGAATAACTTCCAGGTCAAGCAGAAATCCAGGACCAAGGAACAATTAAATAAGGGATTTAGAATTTATCCCCAGTCAAGATAGTGTGGTTTCCAAAGATACTGAATATGTCCTATTGAACTATGGGAAAAACAAGTATAAGATGACACACACAACACTCAAGTTTAGTTTAATGCAGTAAAAGCAAAAGTGATGCTGTAGGTTTAAATATTTTACTTAACATAAATATTATTGTATTTAACTGAACAAAATAAAATATAGAGCAGACTGGTAAAGTGTGTGATATTACAGTATCATATAATGTAATCAATTATTTTAAAAAACACAACAGCCACTTTTGAATGAACACTGAAACGTCAATGTCTAGGCAGCTTCCATTCTTTCTAAAAGTAACAGCAACCACTTGAGGGCCACTCCCATCTTTAGCTGAGTTGTGCTGACCTGTGGACGCTGTCATGTGCTGCCTGAACCCCGGTGTCCAGCTGCAGCACAGTCTTATAATCCACATAGGCCTTTCTGTAGCGCTCCAGTGACTCATAAGCCATAGCTCTGCGCAACAGGGGCTTCAAGGAGTAGGGCTGCAGCTCCAAAGCCCTAAGAGGATCAGAGAGATGTAGACACAGCAGATCAATCCATCTATACCTGCAATCTGTGTCACAAGTGTAACTGAGCTGATTTCTAGAAAAGATTTATGGAAAAGCTATGTAATCTATTATTGTGTGCTGAGCTCCAGTCTGTGGCAACCACGCTGAGAGATTTATGGACTAATCACAAAGCAAACATTTATCTTTTACAGGCACAGTGTCTGCTAAGGATGCAGTGTATGGAAAAGCATATATCAATATACGTGTAAATATACTGTTCTCTTCTGAGGATGTAGAAGCTGTGAGTGATGATTTCAGATAAATAAAAAAACAGGGAGCGAATGATGTCTAGCAGAACAGTATAATCACTAGCAGAACAGTATAATCATTGTACTTTTCTATGAAAATGATACTTTGCAAACAGTTACATAGTGTTTAGAGTTTATAAAGTTCAACTAAAAATAAACCTTAAACTGCAGAAAAACTATTGAGTCCGTGTCAGGAGGAGCAGATGTCTACAAGTCTGAACATGACAAACTTGAGTGGAGGTGTGAAGAGAGAAAGATGTGAGCTTACTAGTCCTCTGTAGCCTGCTCCTCCTCTGTGCTTCAGGCTAACAGCTCAAGGCTACATTAGCTGCTACTAAATATCCAACCCCATTGTCAGCAGTTTAGAGTATATTGCTCTGTGGGTAATGTAGGTGCCAGGTGTAGACAAGGAAATACAACAAAAGTACAATGGTAAATTTGTCAAACACTACTTTGAAATTAATTTATAAACACTGGTCACATACTTGGTGCAGTCATTTATGCAGTCGGTGCTACTTCCATCCTTCAGGTAACAGGCGGCTCTGTTGGAGTAGAGAATACACAGGTCTTCTGGACTATCAATGCCTGCAGAGGAACAGCCATAACCACTCATTTGAAAGACCGGACACTGAAAGAACCCTCCCTTCATCTTTAATCTCTTTATAAAACACAATCAACATAACACTTTTGCTCTTCAAACTACGATATGCTCAGTGGTTTGGACAGTGAGGCACACGCCTGGAGAGCTCTAGACTAAAGACAAATTAAGAAAAGTAGCTCAATTTAAAGTCATTAGGCTGTCCAGAGATGCTGAGAGGGTGACTAATAGACAAATGTTAACAGTGCCTCTAGTAGAGTCATTTTCTGTCCTGTCTTTTCTCCTGTGAAGCTTCACAACTGCTAGCAAAGCATCAGTCATTACACACTGCTTCAGCACTCAAACACTGGTGTCAGCACTGTCTCTACATTTGTGTGTGTTTTTTCTTTTTGCATCATTGAAATAAAGAGCCTACATTGTCACATACAAAGCATAATCAGTTAAGTCTGCTATGGTATTATATCTAGCCTGTTTTAAGTCTGTCTCCAGCGCTGCAAAAAATAAAAAGCTATGAGGAGAGTAAAAGTTGGCTGAGTGCACTGAAAGGTGCAGCATGTCATTCTATTTTACCTAAAAGCACCATGCACCCACACAACTTCAGTCTACAGTCAGTACTGTTGTCTTGTGCCAGAACTCCACTGCATTCATAAATCACCAGTGATGCCTCATGCCTGCTTACCATTACCAGATGCCACAGTTCTCCATACAGACAGGTGACTCGTGTAGCTACTTGAATTATAATGTGGGATGGTGAGCACTTGATTTTGTAAATAGAGGACATTGTGCAGCTTGGCAAGCAGTGGTATAATGCATTCATTATTGACATGAGATACTCTGGATTATGCAGCCTATTGACTCTGAGTCAACTTTTCTTTGATACCCAGACAGGCTAACACACACATGCTCCAAGGGGCTTTCGGTCTGCCTCTATGCCACCCATCTGTTGTACACATTTATGCTGAAAAGATGGCTTCAAAACAGGTGCAAAGTGTACGACTCAATATGTAGTATCATTATTATTGTATCTTTGACTATACGTCTCCTTACTACTGCTTAAACCTCAAGTTTAGTTGATCATCAAAATATAAATAAATGAACTTGTCCATTTATTGTAATAATTTAATATTTTTAAAGGCAATTTCTAAGCAAACATCACTTGCTGTTTTATTAGTATTCTGTGATTTTAAACAAAATGTTTTTTCAGTTGTGGACTGTTACTTGGAAACAACAAGCATTCTGATTACATCCATTTGGGTTTTGTGAACTTGTGAGGAGTATTTTTTTTCTGAATGGTGACAGTTCAGTGACTACAATATTATTCTAGAAAATAACTTAGTTGGAGCCTATTTATTTTGACACAACCCCTCAAATGACACGCACATGTTACTGAAACAGACAGTGACAGTTCAGGTTATTTAAGCTTTTTGTTGGTAGTGATGATTGTGCATGTCAGGTTTTACAATATAGAATTTCTTTTAGCATACATGTCCGAGTGTAAAACGTTTTGTAATGTAAATTTGTAATAAACAAATGTATTTCTCCTTGAATGAAATTTTATGAGGTGATTACTGTAGAGAAAAAAAAAAACAAAATGTTCATATCTTCCCTACCTGCTTCAGCACATTCATCAATGGCCTGAGTGTACTTCTCCAAGGCGTCTCCAAACTGACCATGCTTGAAGAGGTGGTTTCCCTCATTCTTGAGCCGGGCCAGGTGAGGAGGAAGGGCTCCAGCAGGGGCATCCAGGTAATTTGTGTCCACTGCAGGGCTGTCCTGCTCCCCTTGTCCAGCAGTGGGGCTGTTTTGCCCCTGAGTGCCGTTGGCAAGCCCCTTCTCTGGAGCTCTCTGAGTCTGGGGCTTTTCTGCGTTGCTCCCTGTATTCCAACTTCTCGTTCCCGTATCCGATGTAGCTCCCCCTCCTCCACCTGGAGGTTTCTCCTGTGTGTTCCCCATAGCTGCACTCCCTCTGCAGTGTGTTCAAACCCTTCCTCCCTCCTCTCAAAGCTGCAGCTACATCTGTGCCGGGCTGGGGATTTCTCCCAGACACGCCCCCTGGATGAGACGTCCGCTGTGACATCACCAACGGGGGATGTGCCACAGGATGCAGTGCTGCAGTAGGACAGCTCTGATGGGAGGATTACACTTCACAGCAAGAGGGTGACAAGCAGCAATACAAACAGTAAAATTAAAAACTGAACTAAAAGATGGCCAAATACAGATGCATAACACCTTCGTGCAGATTAAAAGTAACCATGACCTTTTACAGTTTTGAAGATGCATTGTTTTTGCTCTTTTATTGTCACTGATTCAGTGAAAAAACAAAACATTTGCATCTATTTTGCTAAAAAAAAAAGAGAGAAATATATTCATCATTAATTTTTATCTTTGTTTTTTAAATACCTTCTACACAGTGGACATTGTGACATCACAGCAAAAGCTTGGCTTGATGAATACTTGAATAGAGCCAACTTTAATTAATGGTATTAGAAACACCTGTGATTACTGTAGTTTTATATCTGCTGTGAAAAAGGCCTACTGTTGGGCAGAATAAGTAAGCAAACTGATGACATTAATTTGGGCTCTAACATTTTATGTACATTTGTCATTAACATTAATGTTAGTAAAAAAAAACTTTATGATAGAGATATTTTAAGATTTTAGGCTTGAGATTAAAAACTGCCACTGGTTATTCTCTTGCCAAGAATTACATGAGATGATTAACACTATTTATAATGCTGTAAGGCAAATATGTGAAGATTGGTACCACTCTTTTGACTGTAAGATACAGTGCCTTGCGAAAGTATTCGGCCCCCTTGAACTTTGCGACCTTTTGCCACATTTCAGGCTTCAAACATAAAGATATAAAACTGTAATTTTTTGTGAAGAATCAACAACAAGTGGGACACAATCATGAAGTGGAACGAAATTTATTGGATATTTCAAACGTTTTTAACAAATAAAAAACTGAAAAATTGGCCGTGCAAAATTATTCAGCCCCACACCAGGCAGGTCCGAGATACTGTTGTGGAGAAGTTTAAAGCCGGATTTGGATACAAAAAGATTTCCCAAGCTTTAAACATCCCAAGGAGCACTGTGCAAGCGATAATATTGAAATGGAAGGAGTATCAGACCACTGCAAATCTACCAAGACCTGGCCGTCCCTCTAAACTTTCAGCTCATACAAGGAGAAGACTGATCAGAGATGCAGCCAAGAGGCCCATGATCACTCTGGATGAACTGCAGCGATCTACAGCTGAGGTGGGAGACTCTGTCCATAGGACAACAATCAGTTGTATACTGCACAAATCTGGCCTTTATGGACGAGTGGCAAGAAGAAAGCCATTTCTTAAAGATGTCCATAAAAAGTGTCGTTTAAAGTTTGCCACAAGCCACCTGGGAGACACACCAAACATGTGGAAGAAGGTGCTCTGGTCAGATGAAACCAAAATCGAACTTTTTGGCAACAATGCAAAACGTTATGTTTGGCGTAAAAGCAACACAGCTCATCACCCTGAACACACTATCCCCACTGTCAAACATGGTGGTGGCAGCATCATGGTTTGGGCCTGCTTTTCTTTAGCAGGGACAGGGAAGATGGTTAAACTTGATGGGAAGATGGATGGAGCCAAATACAGGACCATTCTGGAAGGAAACCTGATGGAGTCTGCAAAAGACCTGAGACTGGGACGGAGATTTGTCTTCCAACAAGACAATGATCCAAAACATAAAGCAAAATCTACATTGGAATGGTTCACAAATAAACATATCCAGGTGTTAGAATGGCCAAGTCAAAGTCTAGACCTGAATCCAATCGAGAATCTGTGGACAGAACTGAAAACTGCTGTTCACAAATGCTCTCCATCCAACCTCACTGAGCTCGAGCTGTTTTGCAAGGAGGAATGGGCAAAATTTAAGTCTCTTGATGTGCAAAACTGATAGAGACATACCCCAAGTGACTTACAGCTGTAATCGCAGCAAAAGGTGGTGCTACAAAGTATTAACTTAAGGGGGCTGAATAATTTTGCACGGCCAATTTTTCAGTTTTTTATTTGTTAAAAAAGTTTGAAATATCCAATAAATTTCGTTCCACTTCATGGTTGTGTCCCACTTGTTGTTGATTCTTCACAAAAAATTACAGTTTTATATCTTTATGTTTGAAGCCTGAAATGTGGCAAAAGGTCGCAAAGTTCAAGGGGGCCGAATACTTTCGCAAGGCACTGTAAATATAAAGCTCCAACTAGCAGCCAGTTAATTTTGCACAAAATTTGGCTTTGAGCTATGGATGTATTATAGGAATTGAAACACTGTCTGCTGATCGAAGCCTTATATTTATCCTACAGTCAAAAAAGTGGTGCCAATCTTTACATCTATCTAGTTAGTTCATCCTAAAAATACCATGGGTATGGCTCACCATCTGGTGACCTGGATTTGTGTGCTTCTATTTCCAACACAAACACACAATGAAGACCCAACTTCTCCTTCAGTCCCCAGTCTGTAATCATCAGTAGTCCTCCTAAGATTGTAGTTTAAAAAGAAATATAGCCTGTTTCAATTTTTCCTTTGGCTTGTATTCAGTTAGCTGTTGGTTCTTTAGCTAAATAACACAGTCACAAAAAAATCTTTCACATTCCTTTTTTTCCCCCATTAAAGGGGGGAAAAAAAAAAAAACATTTTCTATGTCATTTAACTCTCTCTGCTATTTCTCTGAGCTCTGCAAACTGCTGAAGACCTAGAAGTGATGGAGGCCTCAAGAAGGAATTAAGTTTATATTACTTTCTTTTTTACGCCTCACTTAAAATTCATATAACCCTAAGATACCGATTTTTGAATGATTTTGTCATATTTCTATTTATACTGTATATGCGTTATTATTTATACCATATTACTATTTAGTAATAGTAATTACTGTTTCTAATCAGGGTTGAAGGGGACAAACACCAAAAATAATGCATTTAAATAAATAGAAGAAAAGTTACAAGACCTGAGCAATTAATAAAAAATATGCATATAAATTCATGTTCCTGTAGTAATGTAGATATTACCATTCAAAGAAGATAATGGATTAAAAAAAAACTGAAAACTGTTAAGAACCGCAAAATTACGTTTTTAATAATACAAAACCATCACTCTTGGGCAATAATAATAAAATAAAATAAACATAGCTGTTGGTGTCAACATGAAAATGGTGAGTTTTAACCATTATTTTAAAATCTGGAGCCAGGCCTCAAGGTGTATTTATTTACATGTTCATACAGCACAAAAACAGTGAAAACAGCTGCTCTCTTCTTCTTCACCGGGCATCAAAAACAACCACTGAAATCAAAGAGTCAAGGAATAGGTCTTACAGTATTAGGTTCATGTAATCTGCATAATAAAAAACGTCTTTATCCAAATGGGTGCACTTGTTGAAAACATAATACATTTTTCTTTTTTGATATAATCTCACCTAAATATATATATATATATACACACACACACTAGACAGTTTTTTAATCTGTCTTCTCTATAAGAGAAAACTATAATCCCCACAGTCAACATTTTAAACCATGGGATTGTAGGTGTGTTATCATTCCCCATTCTGATAATAATTTCAATCTCATTATTAATACTGGAAAACAACCTGTAGCTGTTGGCTTGTAATATTTTTACACACTGTAAAAGGATCTGTTTACAAAAGTGATATACATGGTTAGTTAAGATAACTTGAGAAAGAAAAAGTATGCTTACTTTCCATATCTAATTATATCAATTAAATTAAAAAATTCAAATTCACCTTTAAAATCTTGAATACATGTTCACAGCATGGTTTCACACTCAATTTTACTCACACATACAGACATGTAAAGGATACATCTCTTTGTTCTCTTCTTGTACATAATCCTGTAGCCGCACTCTCTGCACCGGATTGGATCACGGGCCTTGATTTCATTTTCAGTGTGACATTCTTCAATTAAACACAAGAACACTATTACAGAAAATACCCTTAAATGAAGACTGATATTCAGTTTGTATAAGTAGTACCATGTGCCCTGTATCTTATTTACATTAAACTGACAAAGTTGTATACATGACACAACATTAAAATCTTGGAGTGTATGGACCTCCAGGAATTCATTATATGCTCTCAGAACCCAATTTTCATTCTCAGAAAAGTAATTATTCTTGCAAATAGTAGCATTCTGACCTTAATACCAATGCTAACATGCTAACAGTACTACTACTACTACTAGAACCGAAAACATATGTAGTTATAATAGTACTAGTGAGGATAAGGCATTTAAAAGTTAGATTAGTAAAGGTGTCTGGCCACGTTAGCATTAGTAACGACTATAGTAGCTGTAGTGTTACTGTTAACAGAAGTAATAAAAGAAATGTACCCCCACATATGTAGATCATAGGTTGCTGCTTAGGCGGTTGCAGATCTTTCTGCGTATCCATTTTAATCCTTCGAAATAAGGAGAAAGAACTGTAAACATTTTCACATCTGTATCATTAACCCTAACGTTAGAGCAGGATTACACAAAAACAGCGTGGTCATGATTATTTTAAAGCGCGACAACTGGTATAGAAGGTGAACAACAATAATAATAATAACGTTCAAGGAATCTAAAAAAACAGTATGAATAAAGCAAGTATGAAACACTCAAACACGTCAAAAAGAATAAAAATAAAAATGAGACAGCTCACCAATTCAATATGTTATCTGTTAGCTGTTTACCTCTCTTTTCAACTCTCACGCATACACAGCGTTGCGCGCATGCGTACAAATATCCAGTCGACCTCACAACAAAGTAGTCTGTGATTGGCCAGAAGATACTCTGTCATATTTTTGTTTTGTTTTTTTGCTGAACAACGCTAATAATTGGAGTATCTGACAAATTCTAGTTTCTACAGTAGTTATTAGTGTCTATTCATTGTAGGCTTTAAATGTTTCTAAGGATAGAGGTTGTGCTTTTTTCATTCTGCACTCCGGCCCAACAGCAGGCGCTGTGGAAAAGCTGTGTTCCCAAAACTGTCCATCATCTGACGAACACTTAGCCGGCCTATTTCTAGCTTTTGACAACAACGACTCTGTCGACAATGTTCATATCTTGAGTACTGACTCCAAAACTGCCTCAACCTCCTTTTAGTCAGTTGCCTTTTTATTATTTGAGGCTGTATATCATGGAGACGTCAGCACCCAAAAGGTTTGTATATATTCGATCGGTTTAAGACGTGTCTACAGGCTAAAAGTGGCTCGCTAACAGGCTAACGTAGGTGGCAGCGTTCGTTTAGCTAGCTAGCTGAAGCTAAAACAGTGAACATCACCCCGGTTTCCTTCAAACGTCCTCCAAGTTACGGTGGTTTAACAGATTTAGAGGTCACCATTGACCAAAACTGCAAACTCTGTGTTAAACCCTCTTGTGGTTGAGTTAACGTCATTAGTGCCTTTTAGGGAGCATTTGAATCCACGCTATTATTTGGACGTGAAAAGCAAATTAATGAATTGTGTGTAAATAGAAAGAATCTCGCACATGGGTCAAAATCCAGAAAGACTGTGTGTACTAAAATCATCTGCCGGTGTAAATAGAAAGAATCTCGCACATGGCTCAAAATCCAGAAAGACTGTGTACTAAAATCATCTGCCAGTGTTTTTTGTAATTGGGACACATTTGATCTCTTAGTAAATCGTCCCCAGCTGCTATGATGCAGCGTTGTAGTTTGGTTTCAGTACCTGTTTCCAATTACACTGTACCGAGGTTACAGCTGATGGGTTCCATTTTTACAGCAAGCTGAAAAAGCTGAGTGAAGACAGTCTGACCAAACAGCCAGAGGAAGTGTTTGACGTGCTAGAGAAACTGGGTGAAGGGTAAGATATTTTTGTTCAGACTAACCTCCATTTCAATTTGTATGCTATTGACTGAAAATATTTTAGTAGACAGCAGTCTGTGTTTTAACATGAACCTCTTTTGTTGTGTAATGCATTTATATGATAATAAAGTTGGCTGTAAAATGCACTCTTGATATATTGTCATTTTGTGTGTGTGTGTATTTAGTTCATATGGCAGTGTGTTCAAAGCCATTCATAAGGAGTCCGGCCAGGTGGTGGCCATCAAGCAGGTTCCTGTGGAGTCTGATCTGCAGGAGATCATCAAGGAGATTTCCATCATGCAGCAGTGTGACAGGTGGGAAGAAAACACAGCTTTTCCCAGGCCCCCAGATTCACTACAGAAATCACATTAAAACATCCACATTTTCTCAAGTTTACTGTTTGATGTCATCAATTGCTGCAGTATCTTGCTTGTCTTCATCTGTGTGATATTTTCTCACTTCTGCTCTTTAGCTCCAAACGAAACCTTTTCTTTGCTTTTAATAATCACTTTGCTTTGTGATTTTGCTTAGCCCTTATGTAGTGAAGTACTATGGCAGCTACTTCAAGAACACAGACCTGTGGATTGTCATGGAGTACTGTGGAGCCGGCTCCGTCTCTGACATCATCAGACTGCGTAACAAGACGGTGGGTACTTACACAGGGTTACTGCTGTGTGTCTGGCCAGACTAAAATGTTAGTGATCCACAGAGTCTATATATTCTGTGATATATTTTAGACAGATAAATAAAATTATATATCCTAGACTGATATACTTTGCAAAATTGCATTGAAGTTTAATTTAAAAATTATACACTTGCTTTCTGAGGCCATCTATTGTAAATACCAACAGTGACACGTATTTGCTTTAATACTGATATGAAGGTGAGAAAGGGGCACAACTAGCTATGCTGTAGGAATAAGGATGTCCTGATTGACTTTGTCCATGAGTTAAAGCCATTTCTCTCTCATAGTGACTTAGAGAAAGCTATTCATGCGTTTGTGACTTCCCAGCTTGATTATTGTAATTCCCTGTACTCCGGGTTATCCTAGTCATCACTCTCCAGGCTCCAACTTGTTCAGAACGCGGCTGCCCGTCTGCTGACAAACACTCGTCAGCATGCCCATATCACTCTGGTTCTGCTGTCTCTTCACTGGCTGCCCGTTAAATGGAGAGTAGATTTTAAGGTTTTGCTTTATGTTTTTAAAGCCATGCATGGCCTTGCCCCTCAATACCTGTCCGACCTCTTGGCTAGATACGTCCCTTGCAGAACCACCTTTAATAATTTATTTTTTAACTAGTTTTAATATGTTAGTGTGTGTATTGGTCCTCTGGGCCACCACGGTTGAGCCCCCGGTGGGAGAGCCGGCCAGGTAGTAGTTGGCCTATGTGAGACCTTGGATATCTATTTGGCTTTTGTCTGTTTATGAGTGTTCTTAACTGATATTGTATTACTATGTTTTTTATTGTTGTAGCACTTTGTGCTCTTGAGCTGGAAAGTGCGGTACAAATAAAGATTATTATTATGAGTTAAGTGGCATACATTAGAGTAGAGATGTCATTAAAAATTAGCATAATTCATACTTAAATGTTTTTCTTGGATCTCATTCTTGTGTTTTTATTTTACTTCCCTTATCAGTTGACTGAGGATGAGATTGCCACCATCTTGAAGTCCACACTAAAGGGTCTTGAATACCTCCACTTCATGAGGAAGATCCATCGGGACATCAAAGCAGGAAACATCCTCCTCAACACTGAGGGACATGCCAAACTGGCAGACTTCGGTGTAGCTGGACAACTAACGGTAACATCCTAACTCCTGTTTGTGGCTTTGTACTAGTGACAGCAAAGTAAATGTTCTCAATGAAATGCCACTTAGAAAATATAGTCATTCACAGATTTTTTTTTTTCCCCATCCATATTAAGTTTTTAAAGCTTCGTTTATAGTTATTGTTTTTAATCTCTTAAGGACACTATGGCAAAGAGAAACACTGTGATTGGTACACCTTTCTGGATGGCCCCAGAGGTGATCCAGGAGATCGGCTACAATTGTGTGGCTGACATCTGGTCCCTGGGGATCACATCTATAGAAATGGCAGAGGGAAAGCCTCCCTACGCTGACATCCATCCCATGAGAGTGAGTGAAAACATAGACAGTTTTTTTAAGACTAAATGCTTTAATGTAAACACTATGCTATGAGTTAATTTGCTGTAAAGCTTGGAATTGAGGTAGCAAAAAAGAAAAATGAAGTGTTTGGGGTTTTTTTCTCTCTCTCTCACCCTTGATGTTGTGCAACCTCTTGGTGTCCCTCCAGGCTATCTTCATGATCCCCACCAACCCACCTCCAACATTCAGAAAGCCTGAGCTTTGGTCAGATGAATTCACAGACTTTGTCAAGAAGTGTCTGGTCAAAAACCCAGAGCAGAGAGCGACTGCCACACAGCTCCTACAGGTTGGAAAACAGTTGGAGAGACACACACACACACACGCACACAAAGATATAAAAAGCAGAACATACAGGCTTAGGTGTAAATACTCAAAGACTCAAACAATATTGAACCACAGCGATGTTAAAAATTTAGCTATCTTTCTCATCAAGTGGTAAAATACAGCACAAAAAAATATTTTATTTATTTATTTTTAAATCTGTTGATCATCCAGCACCCATTCATCAGCCAGGCCAAGGCAGTCACAATCCTGAGAGACCTGATAACTGAGGCCATGGAGATGAAAGCCAAGAGGCAGCAGGAGCAGCAGCGAGAGCTGGAGGAGGAGGAGGACAACTCTGTATGTAGACTGAGATGTTGTTTCAGTAAAAGCAACCATCACATGACTATATGCCTGACAGTGTTGTGTCTTCTAGGAAGAGGAGACGGAGGTGGACTCTCACACTATGGTAAAGTCGGGTTCTGAGGGTGCAGGGACCATGCGGGCCACAAGCACCATGAGTGATGGTGCACAGACTATGATTGAACATGGCAGCACTATGTTGGAGTCAGACCTGGGCACTATGGTCATCAACAGTGACGATGAAGAGGAGGAAGAAGACCAGGGATCAATGAGAAGTGAGCACACAGTTTATGTAAAGAATTTCTGTCGAATGCTTTCACACTGACCCTCTAGTATACTCAAAGACAATTTTTTGTTTTGAAACCAGCAGAAGACTCATACAGTGATAATCTACAACCATATCAGTAGTGATAATAATGTTAGGACCCTGTTATTAGGTGGCTATTAATTTTGTCAATATGGGCTTGTTATGCAAGCATGAGAGTACAACATAAATTGAGAAATTTCCCTTTAAACAAGGAGATTGTCTCCAAAGTAATGTTAAAATGTAAAGGAAATATTTAAGATTTTTTTGAATTGTTCAATATGTAAGAAATGTGTGAAATTAAAATGCTTTGTGTTAAGCACGGCTCTTACTCCTCCACAGGGCATGCCACCCCCCAGCAGCCAATACGCCCATCCTTCATGGATTACTTTGACAAGCAGGACTCCAACAAAGCAGCTCAGCAGCAGGAGAACTACAACCACAACCAGCCGCAGGAGCAGTCTGGTTACCACATACAGTCAAAGAACATCTTCCCTGACAACTGGAAGGTCCCTCAGGATGGAGACTTTGACTTTGTGAGTAACGTCTGTTGCAGTGAATGGAGTTGTTCATTGTGGAAATTGTAGACCATTGACCTAAATTAATACACACCAGTGCTTTAATGGTAAAAATAGCAACTGTAAGAAGCAGTTCTTGCAGTGTTACTCACAGTAATACAGTAAATATGACTGTTTCTATTTCCATGCTGTCACCCAGTTGAAGAACCTGGACTTTGAAGAGCTGCAGATGCGCCTGAGTGCCTTGGATCCCATGATGGAGCGTGAGATAGAGGAGCTCCGGCAGCGCTACACGGCCAAGCGGCAGCCCATCCTGGATGCAATGGATGCTAAGAAGAGAAGACAACAGAACTTCTGAGTTATCCTCCTTATCACCTCAGCTTCTAGCCTGGGTTTTCCAAAGCCACCACTACCACAAAACCTATGTTTTGTTAAGTGACTTTATTGCTGTTGTTGGAAGCCAACTGCAGCTCAGACTGGCTGCTAACCATCCTCTGAATGATGTTAGATGAGTCTTTCCCTGGGTGACATTGGTTTTGGCTCCTGGAATCCACATGTATCAGCCTTTTTTTCTACACTATGTCTAGATACTGTTCCTTGATATTGAATCATTTGTTTCTACAGTTCAGCATTGCTTTGACATAAATCATGCTCAGGACTGTGGCCACAGAGAGAGCCTTGGTGATCGTACATCCGAAATGATCTTCTCCTTTTGCAAACGAAACTACCTTTGATGTCAATCAGAGAGCCCTCTGGAAACAGCCAGGTCAGCATTTTACCTAGCTTAGTAGCAGGGGTTAGAAGCAGTGTGGTCAGTGACACGTGGATTTTTTTTTTTCCCTCAGACTTTTTGCTTTCATTGTAAATAAAACTTGGAGCCTAGTTTGGAAATGTCTGCAACAAAACCTGCAGAGGTTTGTCTATGACCAAAGACAATCAAGACGATGTTTATTAAGTTGAGAATGCCTTAAAATATTCAAAGCCTGGTTTTTAAAGTAAACCAAGTAATAAAAAACAGCAAGGGCTGGTTCAGTTCATTTCCTCATGTAGAGATGAGTTGGAATGTGAAAAACAAATGTTTGTTAGGATAGACTGAAATGACAGAAGTCATTTGAATGGTAAAGTGTGGATCAAATGTGTCTTCAATTATTTGTGAACCAGAACATTCAAAACTTGCTTCACAAGTCTTTATTATCATTTATTTAATTTTGTTGTTTTCAAGTATGTTCTGGGCTTCTTTGTACATCTGGTACACTGTTTATTTTGACAGTTACTATGCGTCTTGGTGTCTCACCACTCATCTGTCCCAGCACACACTTGCCCGTCATGCTTTATGAATTTAAAAACAGCACCTTTACTCAACAAATTGATCCACTGTTCAGGATTTTATGCTAGACTCACCTCAGAAAATCATTCCCATATAAGCAAAAGCATTCCATAGTTCACTTTTATTGTAATTATCCCTGTTTTTTTTTAATATTTCATGGTTCTAAGTTTTTTGCCATCATTCCACTTCTGATTGATAAACTCCAGATATCAACAGGATTTTCTGAACCATTTACCTTCTATGTAAAGCAGTGGAGTTGAGGGCTCAGAGACTTCAGGTGTGACTTTTGTGTTAACTGTTTGTAGTTCACTTCAGGAGAAACACATCGGGTTGTGATAAGAGACTCAAGTTCCTGATACTGTAAACTTACGTAAAACAGCTGCTGCATCAGCCACACGTCTACTGTCTGAACATCAGACCGTTTTTTTTCTTTAATGCATTACATTGTTTTTTTACTCTACATTTTCCTGCAGCTCATATGTATGTTTAAGTAATTAGTGAGAATGTTGTCACTTTTCATATTCTGACACTGAGGTGTGGTGTTACTAATGAAGTATTGAAGCTATACTGTTAGTTCATTCTGTGTGTTGGGATACAAGCTGATTTTTTTTTAACAGCTGAAAGTAATATTTACAGTTTCAGCTCAGTGATCGATTGTGTGATGTGAAATCACTCTTGTATAAAAGTGAAGGTCACATTGTTAGATGTTTAGTTTTTAAAATTTATTTCACTGAAGGGACACATGTCAGTATCAGCATATATAAGCAACAAGACGTTGTAGTACAGAATGCTAAACATTTATCATTGTGGTAATTAAAAAACAAATTAAAACCCACTTTTTTGCTGGGGAACACAAATTTTTAATTGAACTGTAACATGTCCTATTCAGTACATATCTCGGTCACGGTTCTTAAATAACCAAATTCAAGAGACCTTATCAGAAATGGTTGTTTATTTATCCTGTTCTCAAATGTCAGCTAATGACATTCTTGGTCACTTCATGAAGGAAACTGCTCTGTTTTTATCTGTGATCCAGTTGCTCTTTGAATGAGTTGCGATTGTCTTTAAATACATGTACAGTATGTCTGTAGGTTGCTGTTACAAATGAATGATATGTGGTCTTGATAGTGTGCCTCAGCTTATACTCTGTGACATTTTAATAATACAACAGTCTTATACATAGACCTGTTACACTTTCTTACTGTAACCCAATGGACAGTGTGGCCAAAATGAGCTGACATAACTTGGTTAGTTACAGCTTCTGAATAATCATGTTTGTCTTTGTTTTTCTGCATGCAGGTGAGCCTATTCTTTTACAGAAATCATTAACATTCTTGCCATGAATTGTTTTCATAAGTTAGGTCTTCAGTGTATCTGCAACTTACACACAAGCATTCACACTTTATTTATTACCTGTTTAAACTTTTTCTCGTTTGTGGCACTGGTTTAAATAATGTAGCTGATTTGGCTGTTAATATTTTTCCCTTTATCAAATACATGCCGCTTCATTTTTGTGTTTTAGATTATGCATGTTTATAATTATGTTTGCTATGTAGTGCTGTATATCAACTGCACAGGTAAGAGTGCTGTTATTATGGAAGATGGACTATTTTCAGCTTTTAATAAAAACTATTTGCTCTGTACAATAAAAAGCCCCATTTGAAATTTGATGTTCAAAATTGGCCTCTTTCTCATATATAGTCAGGGAAAAAATTATTTGAACCCCAGCTGATTTTGTAAGTTTGCCCACTAACAAAGAAATGATCAGTCTACAATGTCAATGGTAGGTTTATGTGAACAGTGAGAGACACAACAATAACAAAAAAATCCAGAAAAATGCTTTACAAAAAAAGTTATACATTCATTTGCATTTTCATGAATGAAATAAGTATTTGATCTCTTTGCAAAACGTGCTTTAGTACTTGGTGGCAAAACCTTTGTTGGCAATCACAGAGGTCAGACGTTTCTTGTAGTTGGCCACAAGGTTTGCACACATCTCAGGGGATTTTGACCCACTCCTCTTTGCAAATCCTCTCCAAGTCATTAATGTTTCGTGGCTGATGTTTGGCAACTCAAACCTTCAGCTCCCTCCACAGATTTTCTATGGGATTAAGGTCTGGAGACTGACTAGGCCACTCCATGACCTTAATATGCTTCTTCTTGAGCCAATCCTTTGTTGCCTTGGCCGTGTGTTTTGGATCATTGTCATGCTGGAATAC